TCCCTCCCTGCACCCAAATGTCTCTTTACTGCGTTCATGTGTAATAACATGGGGTTGGCTGCCATAAATGCTCTCCCCGTACTGGCCTGTGAAACACCATGGGGGTTTTGGGTTTTCTGTTTCCTTAGATGCTTGCAGCTGTTTAAGGTTAGTGGGAGGCACTGCTGGTGTTGAGCCAAGAGTGGGTGGCAGCAGGATGTCACTCTGTCCCTTGTTTCCTGAAGTGGCAGTGCCAGTCATGTGGGTCAGGGCTGAACTGTTCTACCAGTTACATCCTCTGCTGCTTGGAATTGAAACCACAGATCTCTGAAAAATGGCATTCAGCCTAACTGCCTCTATTTGTCCTCAGCATGGAACCTCCCACCTCTCCATTTTCCATCTAACTCCTATTAAATGGCATTAAATTTGGCCTCTGATTCTGTCCAGGGCCAGAAGTTGGACTTGATGATCCTTGTGGGTCCCTTCCAGCTCTGAAATATTCTGTGATTCTGTGCAACTTGAGTATCTAATTTTATTTATTTATTTATTTAAAGTATAAGCTGTTTTCCCAAATCCTTAAAAGCTTAAAATTCAGTTGATCTCCTTCGAAATCACCACCAGGTTTTGGGGACCCTCTGGAGGGGGTGGGGGCACTGAAAATACATCAGTGGTTTATATCTCAGAATTAAGTTGGTAAATGTCATTGCAGCTGCTTCTGAAATTCCAGCAGTGAGCCCTCTTTCCACAGGATTGCAAGGTCACCTGTCAGTGCTTCCTTGCCAGTTTTTATGTCAAGAGAAGGTGTTATCTGTGTGATATAATATTGCATCACACGTGGTGCCTGTGGGGGTACCTTGCTTTAATTGGGTATGGCCTCGTCCTTCCAGGAGACCTGTCCATGCATCTCCTAAACTATGTCCTAAACAAGCTGAGAGAAGCAGTTGGTGGGTTTTGAAGGGCTCGATTTAGGTTGCTTTTGCTGTTTTTTGTTTGTTTTGTGTTTTTTTTTGACTCTTGGGAACCTGGTGCAGAGATCTGCTTGCAGGTCACGTGAGAGTGGTGGTTCCCCAGTCTTTTGCACTTCTGTGGTTAAACACTTGACTCAGCTCAACCACATGTAAATTTAGTTCTAATCCTTCTTGTAGTAATGTGCTTTCTGGGGAAATGCTGAGGAAAACATTTTTGGAGTAGTTTATTTGAATAAAAATCTTGGGAGTAGCAAACCAGAAGGGCAACGTGTTTGAACGGAGATTTTCTTCCTGTGTTTCCCTGATGAGGAGCCGGATTCTTGGCACTCCTTCCCATCTTCTGGGGAAGAAAAAGGCAGAGAGAGTGTGCATGTGTAAGACACCTGGCTGCTGCTGCTGTCAGAATGCAGGTGTCACTGGGAATATGAAATCCAGGCTTTTAGAGCTGCTGCTCGGTCCCACCTCCTGCCTCACCCCGCCAGGGTAGGCGTTCAGCTGCTGCCTGGGTTTGTGTGTGACCAATCCCCCAAATTTATCTGTCTCCTATGGCCAAACAGCTTCATCCCCGTAGCCCTGGAAAAGTGGGAATAACGTGCTTTCCCATGCCTGTCTCCCTGTGACCTCCCAGGTACATCTGGGAGCTGGGCAATTCCCTCATTAAAAAGCTGTGTGTGTAACAGCACTGATGGGGCTGGAGCAGGGTGAGTGCATCCCGTGGGAACAGTGCTGTGGGTTTGGAGCTCCTCCTCTAAATTGAGAAGGTCATTTCTTTGTTCTCAGTGTCGGTGGTTCAGGCAGTAATTCGTGTCTCCATCACATCCACGGATGTTTAGGAAAACACAGGAGTGTCTTGTAGCTGTGGGAGACATCCTGGTGTATTTACAGGCTGTTGTAATTCAGTATTTGAACTGGCTGATCTCTCTAATTCCTCTTTCCCTCTGGTGCTTTACAAACTGCAGAAGATGTGAGTTCATAAAAAATAATGACCATGGTGCTGTCCAAACTGAACCATCCCAAAATCACTGCCCTGGCCCTGCTTTGCTTTCCCCAAACCAGTGATGGGTCTCATCAAGGCTCAAGTTCAAAGGCAGAATCAGTTTATTGTTTGCCTTAATCCTGCAGTCACAGGTATCTGCAGGGTACAGCCTTGCTCTGTATGTTCTTCACTGTTTATGCCTTTGTTTGTATAAATTCTTGATACTGAGAGAGGTTCTCTCAATCTCTGTCCTGTGCAGCTCCTGGTTTTGTGGTGTGCTCATGATAAGGGCTCCATAATGCTGTAGACACAGAAGTTGCCAGGGATGCATCCTGCTGTGAGCTGAGATTTGCATAAAGTGATTCTTGTTTGAGGGGTGAGCACGAGTTTGCTGTTGCATTTCTGGGTCTTCGGATTTGATTTGAAATATTTAGTCCAGAACAGAAATGCAGGTCGTTCTTTTAAAGAGTTTGGTTGGGGGGGTATTAAATTTAAACTATTTATCTTGAAATACCTAAAACCCAAACAGAAATGGAGGATGTGTGAGGATGTGACTTATTCCAGCTAATGAGCATATCCAGCTTTTAAGGATGAAGGAGCCGCCTGAGTAGATTTGAACTGACTGCGTGACAGTCCTGGTGAAGTGGGACAGCATGTCAGGATCTGAATTTAATCCTGGAAATAACAATATGTTATGGTTGTACTGAGCTGCACACACAGTGCTTTTGGGGAGGGCATGGGCCAGGTCCACGAGCCTGGGCATTTACTGTGGATTCCTGTAGGGAAAGGGCTGTTGGATAACTTGAGACTGTATTTTTCAGACATGGTACCCTTCTCCAAGTTGCTCTCACCACCCCAATCAGTAGTGACCAAGAAGAATAAATCTTAGTGCTCACATTTGATCAGGGCTTATACACTTGAATATTTTTATTTTTTCAATTGTCTGCCCGAGTGTTTTTATTTCACCTTGTCTGCACCTTCTGTGAAGATCCAGTGAGACTTGCAAGGCGTCCTGCTGACCAGGGGAATAACGAGTTGGCTCTGAAACTCGTGCAGTTCGTGCTATTTCATAATTAATCTGGGTGAACTTTCAGTGTTCAAAAGAAAGGAAATAGGAAATGGCAATTAGGCAGAACTTTCACTCTCCAATCACTTCTATAGTGCACTGCCATTGTTACTTACAGCTTTTCAAGAGCCTCCCTGGAGGGCTCTATATTAAGTAATTCATCTTGTTTAACACTTCAGTGTGAAGCACGTGCAGTTAATTGACAACATATAGAAATAATGATCTGATTAATAGAAATCCAGTTCCTGAGAGCCCAGACTGGTTTTTCCTTTACAAGCTTTACGGCTGATTGTTCTTTTCGAGTTCGCTAATTATATATATATTTTATCTGCCACTGGATCTGTGAAGGCAAAATTGAAATCCAGTTTGTGAGTGAAATGAAAATCTATATGTAGCTCTCCTGCTCCTTCTGTGCCATTAAACAACCAGAAATGTGATAGCCCCGACTCTGTTGCACGTTTAGTACGGCTGACAGAGTAATAATGGCAGGGTAGGTTTATAAAGAAAAGGTTTTTAAAAAACCCCAAACCCACAAATGATGACCCAAAAACAAACAAACAAACAAAACCCACAAACCAGCAGAAAACCACAGCCACCACCCCCATCCTTACACCTTTCATTAAACACAAAGTGTGTTCAAACATGCTTAAATATTGCACAGGGCTGAACTGGGAAGTGATCCTGGTTTGAGAGCTGCTGTCGTGGTGGGGCTGGGGAATGGCAGGGTTTAAGCCAGTGTGGTGTGTTCCCCCCTAAGGCAGCAATTTTTGTGCAAATTGTTGTGTTTGGAGGCGCAGCATTACCCTGTGTTTGCTGGCTTACTCACCTACCACGTGTTCAAAGGTGGTGTTTTGGTAGTGTGATGAGTTTTAAAGTGTGTGGCTGGGAGTGTGGGTTCAAATTAGAAATAATTCTGGTTAAAAAAAAAAATTAGGGGTGAAGGGAGAAGTTTAGGGTGTGTTGATGGAAGTGGTGGAGATAAGAGTGGGTTTGCTTCCAGCAGAGGAGCCTCAGTGCCTCCCTGGTACTCAGGCCACGTCTGCTAATCCTGGCTCAGGCTCGGTCACACCAGCAGCCCTAAATGGGATTTGTCGTTGGGAAGGGAGACAGCAGAGTGCCCAAAATCGGCTTTTAGCCCCCAAGGAGGCAGTGCCAAGCCTGGCCTGAAGTCCCCCTGAGCCAGGGGAGAGGGATGGGAGGAGCAGGTGCTTGGGCTTTGGGGTCGGTGCCTCTCTGGTGCTCAGAGCACTCAGTGTTCTGCATCTCCCTGGGACAGCGGGCTCAGGGGTGGGATGTGCCCGAAGGCTGCATCTCCACTCTGGATCTGGCTGTCCAGAGCAGGTCTGGGATCCACCCTGAGCCAGCAGCACGGCGTTCTCCGTTAGTTTAGCACATCTCTGCAGAGGTGCCACCATCGTAGCTTTCTTGTCTAACATGTGTCTGGTATTTTCCCCCCTAACTGTGGTGTTTGAATATTAGAACTCTCATTTCCATAACATCCCATGTGTGCTCTTAAGAACTGGGCTTCCCTTGAGGAAATGCTGATCCACACAGTAAAACTGATTTTGGTCATAATTAGGGCAACGTTGTTTGTATACAGCTGTCCCATGTTTACCTTTCTTAGAGATACTTTTCTCACTATTATATAAAACAAAGGTGATACACTCGGTGTTCCAGCTGTACCTGTGGCAACCAGGGACACCTGAGGTGGGAGTTACTGTTTGTAAAGTAGTTTTTAAAGTAGTTGGCTTTTCTCCACATTACCCTTATTACTTATAGAGATTTTTATATATAAAAAAGACATGTCTATGTATACATAAATAAGGCAAGTACCTGCCTTACCTTTCCTAAGTAATTCCTGTGTGTGTGTGCACATAAACTCAGCTTACACTGCAGCACTTGGTTAATTGCAAAAGAGCTTAAGGAGCCCGTTTTTCCCCAAGTGAAGCCTTTTTCTGTGGTGTGTGTCGTGCCTTTGCTGTCTCTCTAACTCAGCTGCTTTGTGTGACAGGTGGGAGATTCAAGAAGGAGATAGTAGTTGATGGACAAAGCTACCTGCTGCTGATTAGAGATGAAGGAGGCCCTCCCGAGGCTCAGGTGAGCATCTCTGAGAGCCCTGGCAGCCCAAAGCCTTGCTTTGCCTGCTCTCAGAAACCTCCCTTCAAAAGAGCTGGCTTTGCTTTGTTCTGCCCTGGCTCCCCTCTCATCCTTCTGCTGGGAAAATTCCTGCATCGCCCTCAGGTGAAGAAGATTTTGTGCAGAAAATGTTTGGGATTTCAATTACAACACATTAAAGAGTCTGGGTGGAAAATATTTGGTATTACCACTAAAACTGTATAAGTGAGGATATACAGTTAATGTCTCCTGAAAGCCCAATCAATTTGCTTTCCCTGGTGACAATATTGCATGTCACAGCCAAGTTCTCTTCTGATTTTAAAGCTCTAAACTGTTAAAATACGAAGTAGACGTGCACACAGTGACACACACACTCGTGTCCAAGCCTTGGCATTCCCTGCTGCTTCCATATTTTGCTGTTTAAGGCTCAAATTGGTAGGTTCCAGTTCAGCACCACTGAGTTCCTGGATTTCTGACTGGGAATTCTGTGTGTGTTGTGTTACCTCCTTCTCTCACAGCAGGTGACACCTCAGGATTTAATAGAATTACAGGAGGGTTTGGGCTGGAAGGGACATTAAAGATCATCCCATTCCACCCCCTACCATGGGCAGGGACACCTTCCACTAGCCCAGGTTGCTCCAAGCCCTGTCCAACCTGGCCTTGGACACTTCCAGGGATTGGGGCAGCCACAGCTTCTCTGGGCAACCTGTGCCAGGGCCTGCCCACCCTCCCAGGGAAGGATTCCTTCTCAACTATCCCATCTAACCCTGCTCTCTGGCAGTGGGAAGCCCTTGCCCCTTGTCCTGTCCCCTGTGCCACTGCTTAAATCAGCACAGACCCAGCCTGTGTGCAGGCACCATCCTTGTCCTGGACATCTTCCTCCTCCTCCTCCCCCTCACCTGGGCACCTGCAGAGTTTCCTGAGTGTGTTGGCTGCTGCTGTCCTTGCTTTGCTGGGCTGTTCAGGGATGGATCAGCCTCCAAACAAGCAATAATTGAGCACCAGGAGCAGCTGAAGGGGAGCGGTGCCAGCAGCAGCAGCTTGGGTTTCAGTGCCCCACTTCATCTGCAGGAGGGGAAGGTGCCCGGACAAAGGGGGAGAGAAAGGAGGTGGAGGAAATGGAGAATGAGAGAGACATCCTGGAAGGAAGTTAAAGGACAAAAAAAAAATGAGTGTTGCTGGCACATCTGCAGCCCTGTCAGCAGGAGCCTACAAGGAGCGCTCTGTTTGGGGCTGGGAGGGATTTGGCTGAAGCTCCCCACGAGCTTCCAGGCCCTGGTGCTTAAGAGAACATTCAGTCATCTAAAAACATGAATGCTGGAGGTGTTAAGGTACACACAGCGATGGGAAATGTTTTTCTACCCTGAGAATTGGGTTTTTAGAGTTTATCCGAGCTAAGGGCAGGTTAAGGAACAGGCACGGGGTGTGCTTTTGATCTGTGTGAGGTGAACTTGGGAGTTTAATTATTATTGTCTGGTGGAAGGTGTCCCTGTCCATGGTAGGGGGTGGAACAGGATGAGCTTTAAGGTCCCTCTCAACCCAAGCCAGGCTCAGATTTGTTCCTCAGCAAGCCACAAGGATGGAGAGGTTTAGGGCATCAGTGCTGTTTCACCTTTCAGCACGTGGGTTTCACAGGTAAATCCCCTTTGGACTTTTTGGAGTATAATCTCAGGTCTCATGTGTATTGAAAGTCTTTCACCTGTTTATTAATTCCTGGAATGAGAAGTTCATTTCTGGGTTCGTGAATAATTGGGGTAGGGTTAGGACTTCCTAAGGAGCATCTCCATAGCACTGGGCCATGGAGATTTCCCCAGGTTGCTGCCCCTTTGTTTTTGGCAGGAAGGGACAGAAAACAAACTCCCCTGAAGACTTGCTTTGTGGGCCTGTGATCTCTCTTTTCTTTGCCTAAGATGAAATTGCTCAAAGTTGAAAAGAATTCGATTTTTGTATTTTAAAACCCAATTAACATAGTAACTGACCTATAACAGGCTGTTGCATGGTATTTTCTTGGAATGTAAAGCTTTTCTTTTTAATATAATTTGGTTCTGGGCTTTCCTTGAACTTCCAGCTCTGCTCTCACACACTCTGAGGATGGGTTTGTGTTACAGCAGCTGACCTGTCCTTATTTCAAACCATTCCCTGCACAGTGCTGTGGATAAGACATCCAGCATTTTCCAAAACTTATGTGTTTCCCAAAATTCCTTGGGTTTTCAGTACCACAGGTCTGATATCCACCAAGATTAAACTTTACTTTAACAGAAAAGGCATAAGAAATTACTGGAAATATTTTGTGTCTGGAGGAACTGCATTGTATAAATCTGTGGATGTTTTAAAATGATCTTCATTAAAAGGGCTGCTGCTGCACACTGAGCAAATACTCAGAAGGATTAGGGAGACTTTAAGGATGTTGCAGTTGTAGGGAAGAGTTCTTGGCATGATGTTGCTGAGTCCAGTCGGTGAAAACTGCTCATAATGAGACCCAAACCCACAGTAGTGCTGCTGTCTCCAGTTCCTCTGGTCACATCTTCTGGGTTGGACAGTTCCAATTTCCCAGCATGGTGGCTGACCTTCTGCTGGCAGTAGCTGTGCTGTGTGTAACCAGTCCTGTCCTTACCCTCTGGAACATTGGCTTCCTGGCTGTCTTGAAAACCTCAGAACATTTCTGGCTGTTTTTACACTCCTTGCAGCCCTCTCTGTTCAGTGTTCCCCCCCAAATGTCCCTGACACACAGTAATAACACAGAGAGCATGAAAATGTCCATGGCTGAAGCTTCTTTCCATTGCTCTAAATCTGGGTAGGAATGGAGTCACTTAGGCAAAAATAAAGGCAGTGAGGTAAGCTTAACTTCAGTCTTTTCTTGGTGTCCTGTGTGCATTCACCGTTAAGTTAAATGTCTTCAAACAGTCTTATTTCACTTGTGAGCTGAAACCTTCCCACTTGCATGGTCACCTGAGGGCACCCTGCCTTGGCCTGTGCACCTGCATGTCTCTTAGCAGGCTGCTGATGCTCTTCCTCTGAAAGCAGAGCGAGGCATTTGGGGCTGTTGGCTCAGTGGAGAGTGAAGAACTGGAAACCTCAAATGAGTGGGTTTGGGGTGTTGGTGAGAATTCCTAGCAAGGCTTGTCCTGGCAACATCAGCATGCATGCATGGAAATCCCAGAGGGGGGGAAACACCACACTAAGTCAGGTGCCTGGACAGAAGAGTTGCAGATTTAAAATGCACAGATTCAGACACCTGGGCCCGCCGTGTTTTCTGTGAACCAAACCCAGCGTGCACTGATGGTAGCTGAGCTTGTGGTATCAGACCCCAGTAGGGAAGGGATGCTTTTGTGAGCATGGGGAGGAACTTGGTACCTCCCAGGCCCCCATCCCCTGCAGAGTGAGGACAGTCATCAGTTTAGAAGCTGGTGCCACTTTTAAGGCTTTGGTTACTGTCCCTCAGTTTCTCTGCTGTGTATTTCCCACCCAGGAAGGTAAGAACGTTTCTCCTTTTTTTTTTTTTTTTTTTTTCCTCTTTTCCCCCCTCTGTGCTGCTGTTCTCACAGCCTGCCCTCTCTGCTTTCCCCCTGCAGTTTGCCATGTGGGTGGATGCTGTTATCTTTGTCTTCAGCCTGGAGGATGAGGTCAGCTTCCAGACGGTGTACCACTACTACAGCCGCATGGCCAACTATCGCAACACCAGCGAGATCCCCATGGTCCTGGTGGGGACACAGGGTAAGGGCAGGCTGCGTTCCCAGGGCTGCTTTTCTGGCCACAGAGGCTTTTCCAGGCTGGCAAAGCCACGTCCTGTCCTTGCCCCTTTGCAGCAGGGCCGGGGCATCGTGAGAGGGCTGGTTTGAGGTGGGAGACAAATGTCCCGGCTGCGCTCTGGGAGATGGGGTGTGGGGCTTCAGCAGGCATGAGAGAGGGGGGATTTAGGTCAGATGTTGGAAGGAATTCTTCCTGGGAGGGTGGGGAGGCCCTGGCACAGGTTGCCCAGAGAAGCTGTGGCTGCCCCTGGCTCCCTGGAAGTGTCCAAGGCCAGGTTGGACGGGGCTTGGAGCCACCTGGGCTGGTGGGAGGTGTCCCTGCCCATGGCAGGGCGTGGGACTGGATGAGCTTTAAGGTCCCTTCCAACCCAAACTGTTCCAGGATGTTATGACTTACAGAGAGATTTTAAGTAGTATTTTCAGTGCTTGCTAGTGACAGTGGTTTTCATGCTCAGCAGGGAGATGCTCATGTTGAATTTGGGCAGGTGCATCAGTTGAGTAACGAAGGTCTGAAGTCCAGTTTCCCTGTGCTTGGCAGTCTAGAAGTGTTTAACACCTTGGCATTGCTAAGAGGCAAACGGACCAGGGGTGGAGAACCTCCAGCAGCACGTTGGGAAGCAGAACTGAACCCTGTCCCCATGCAGTGCCTCCAGGAGGCCTCTGCATATCAAACAGAAATGCAGCTTTTTTGCCACCTGAGACAGACCCTCGCCCAGTTTTTCCCAATTTCCTTCTGGAGCAGCAGTAACCACAGCTGTCCTACAGGGAAATGTTGCAAGGGAATGGTACTTAACAGTCTTCCAGTGTCTTTGGTATTTGAGTTGTCTCTGCCTTGCTTTGCCAGTGCATCCCTTACTATGTCACCATTTTCCCGTGCTGTGGTTGGTTTGCTGCATGCAGTAGACACTTGAGAGTTGAGGCTGCTCTGCTCCTGGCCACGTAGATCACAGAACCCATGGAATTATTAGGGTTGGAAAAGCCCACTAAGATCACTGAGTCCAACCCTTAACCCAGCACTGCCAAGGCCACCGCTAACCTGTGTCCACATCCACATGTGTGCTGAACACCTCCAGGGATGGAGCTTGTGCCAGAGAGATTGACAACCCTTTTGGTGAAAAACTTCTCCTAATATCCCATCTGAACCTCCCCTGGCTCCACCCAGCTCTCTCAGCTGCTCCTCACTCCCACTGGGAGATCTCTTTCCCAGTGTGTCATCGGGTTGCTGTGCTGTGTTAGAGGGAGAGCAACACAAGTGCCAGGAGTTGTTCTGGTAGGCTCAGTTTTGGCCAGCTTCCTCTCTGCTCCGTGCCAGTTGGGTTTGGTGGTGTGGAAGCTTTTTTTGCTGCTTTCTCAGCTCGTTTTCAGCCAGCCCTGTGGTCGGGGAGCGGTTTTTGCCTTGCCCTGCCTCCCGCGGAGCGGGGACGGCCTGGAGGGAGCAATCCCAACCCAGCTGTGGGGTGGAAACAGATGATGGGAAGTGAAAGGGGAAGCAGGGACACAAAAAGCAGCCTCAGGACGGCACAACCCACAGCAAAAAGCAGAAAGGAGCTGCTTTGAAGGGCCGTGCTGTCGGCTTGGAACTGGAGCTGAAAAGGCAAGGGGCAAACGTTTCTCTTGAGCTGTTTTGTGCCCTGCTGACACCTTGGGGGATGGTTTCCCATCTCCTTCCCGTTATTACCAGAAAGGAATTTGGTTTGTGGGTTTTTTTGTTTTTTTTTTTCAAGGTCACTTTCTGTTGCAGCACTGATGCAAAGGGGGTTTTTCAAAACGTGGCTGATTCTGGGAGCAAGCATCAGGACAAAATACAGCTTTTTGGCTGCCTTTGACAGTCAAACGGTGCAGTGCAGTGCAACATGTGAAATACATGAACATACCTGTTAAAAATATATTTGAAATACACCTATCTGGTATCATACAGTTACAGAGTGATTTGGATGGGAGGGGATCTTGAAGATAATCTCATTCCAACCCCTTGCCATGGGCAGGGACACCTTTCACTATCCCAGGTTGCTCCAAGCCCCGTCCAGCCTGGACTTCTTGGTTTTGACTGGTATTCTCGAAAGGAGACATGAGATGAAATCTCTGCCAAATGCTGGCACTTGCCTGATGATTCCAGATATTTTCCCCTGACCTCTGAGGCCAATTCAGTGCCGCAACCTGACCAGAACAGCAAAGGCAAACTTTTCCAAGCCCTAAGTGTTCCTTATCAGTTCCTTTCTGGTTAAATGTTGTCAGCGCCCTCTGCTGAAAACAAGAGAGTGTTACTTTTCCAAATAATGCCTTATTTGTGGGAATTGGATCTGATGAGAAGGCAGTGATGACGCCAGCTGAGGTGCAGTCCTGCCATGCCCAGGGCCGAACTGCAAACACAGCGTTGCAATAAGCACTGAATTCCTGCTTGGGCACCTTCCACCAGCCCAGGTTGTTCCATTCTGGCCTTGGACACTACCAGGGATGGGACAAATTCAATAGATATATCTGTTTTTACTTTAATTGTAATACATCAGCACATTTTTGATTGCCTCTCCTGAAAATGTTCCATTTCTTAAAAGCACATCGTGTTTTGTGCTTCACCTTCTAGTTACTTGTTAGGAACTGATATTCACAGGAGGCCTGAAGATGATTTGACATGCTTGTAGTAATCACCCACTTGTTTTGCTAAGTATGTTTTGCATCAGATCTCAAGTTATTTCCCTCGACTGTGTATTTTTTTGCAACTGCTGACCTAAATATATGTATTCAAGGTAAACAAAAAAAGCACTGGAGGTTTTCCCCCCTGGTTTTTAGAATCAGCATGCTGGTGATTTTAGTCAGGAGGTGTAAAATCAGTGATGTGCACCCCTGTTGTCTGTAAAAATCCTGAAATTCTCATGGTTTGTGCTTTAAATTCGTTGTTTGGGGTGCTGGTCGTTACAAGAGGAAACAGCCTCGAGCTGTGCCAGGGGCGGTTCAGATTGGACATGAGGGGACATTTCTTTGTGGAAAGGGTTGTAAAGCATTGGAGGGGCTGTGCTGATGGTTGGACTCGGTGAACTTTAAAGGTGTTTTCCCACCTTAACGATTCTGTGCCTCTGAGTGACAGGATGACGTTTTCAGGTGATATTTAACCCATATCTTTCCCTGCCGTTGCTGCAGATGCCATAAGCTCCACCAACCCCCGGGTCATCGACGATGCCAGAGCGAGGAAGCTGTCGAATGACCTCAAGAGATGCACCTACTACGAGACCTGTGCCACCTACGGGCTCAACGTGGAGAGAGTCTTCCATGACGGTACACGAGACCTTTTTCACCCAGTATAGCACTCAGTTCTTAAATAACCCCCTGTGTCTGAGGGCTCAGGAGTTACCCTGTTTGCCAAACATTCGTTAATATTTAAATGCTTATTTTTAGGGACTCTGGTTACGTTATCTGGCTCCTTATGGACACACGGACACTGATGTTTTCCCTACCAGCACCTTTAGCCTTTAGCATCTATTTTTAACTTCTGTTTAATTTTCAGTGTCCTTTGGCACTTGCTTTATCTTAGCAAAGTTTTCTTGGGTTTGATTTAGCGCTCGTGGAGAAGCTCTTTGTGCAGAGTAGTTGAAAATTAAATTGCACGTGTGAGTACCGTGGTATTCGTGGAGTGTTAGAAGTTGAGAGGTAGATAGTTAGCTTTGAGCTGACAAGAAGTCAGACTGGAAATTGGGAAGAAATCCTTCCCTGGGAGGATGGGGAGGCCCTGGCACAGCTTGCTGCATCCCTGGAAGTGTCCAAGGCCAGGCTGGACAGGGCTTGGAACAAGCTGGGCTGGTGGAAGGCAGTGGAATGAGATTGACTTTCAAAGTCCCTTTCAACCCAAACTGTGCTGTGATTCCATGAGAGCCCTGTGCATGGGCTTTGGTGATCCTCGTGGGCCCCTCTCAGCTCGGGGGGAGTGTGTTATTCCATGATCCTCGAGTTGGAGCTCTGTGCATGAGATGGGCTCTGTGCCCCCTCTAGTGGAATTTCCACCAGGAGGCTTTGCTGGCTTTCCCCCTCACTGTGCTTGTCTGTGTCAGCCCCTCATCACAGCAGTTTGTCTGTGCCTGAAAACCTCCTTAATTAAGTGTAAATGTTTATCGGAGCTCCTTAGTTCCATGGTTTGTGATTGCAGATTCCTGCTCTGTCTGTGGTTGTGTGGGGCAGTTTCACCTCAGCATCTGTCAGAGGTGTGCACAGAGGCCTCTCAGATTAAAAAGGCAAAAATTTCATATTTTTACATGGAATGAAACTTTCTAATGTTTGCATGGGGGGAAATAGCAAATCAGTGTAATTTTTGCATGAAAAAAAAAGGCAAAACATCCTGACTTTACAGGGAAAATTCTGATGTGCACTGCAGTAGTTTAATTCCAAATAAGATGTTTTTACTTGTCCTTTTGATCAGATTTCAAGCAGATTTGAAGCTGCATCTTTGTGCTTTGCTCCCTGTTTTCTCTTGAACTCGTTGCAAAAATTACTGTTTTCGCTGCCTGGATTTTTCTGTATTGATTAGGAGTTTCCAAGAGCCCATTAGGGATTTTTGTTGTTAGCACATTTATTTTGGAGTGCTGGCTATAGTTAGATTTTTAATTACATATTCCAAGTCGTGGTGTTTGTGGCTCTTTCTGCAGTCTGCTCCTCTTTTTTGGGACTTTTTGAGAGAACTCTCTTGGCATAAAGCTAAGTGGGATAAACTTGTAAGCTTCCAGGAGGCTTAGTTGTCTCTCTCTGCTAAATTTAGTAGTAAGTAGAAAGAATTGACAGAGCTCATGTGTTTTAAGAAATATCAGGGTTTTGTTTTACCTACATGGCAGGCAACCAACCCCTCTAATATTGGCCAACTAATAGGATTAGAAATGCTTCTGTGTAAATGGGTTGCACTTGCCAGACGTGTCTGGGACCGCATCCAATCCCTGAGAATTTTTTGCTGTTTATTTCAAGCAGCAAACAAAGCAACTCCTTAACCCCGTTAAACGAGGGGGTGTGAATGAGCAGTGCAAGCTGCTGACAGGGAGCACTTGATTAAATGACATTTGGTTTGTGGAACTTGAGAGCTGAGCAGCCTGGGCTGGTGGAAGGTGTCCCTGCCCACGGCAGGGGTGGAATGGGATGAACTTGAAGGTCCTTCCAACCCAAACCACTCTATGTGATTCTGTGATGTGACCTGAAAAAAAAAAAAAACCCTTCTTGATGTAAATGTTACCAATGAGCCCGGAAAAGAAGGGACAATGGGGAGGAGGGGTGGGCCAAGTAGGGGTCTTCACACAGTGTGTTCTTAAGCAATTCTTATTATTTTGAGGAAACCCTAAGTCAGGGCCAGAGCCTTCCTAAATTACCTGAGTTTTTCATCAAGCTTGGGAGGGGTACAGACAATTACTGCATTTTATTAATAGCTGAATGGATAAGACAGGTGGGGTTTTTTTTTTTTTTTACTGTGTAACTCAGGAAAAAGAGATGTCGGCAAGTTAATAGCTGTTTGCAAGACATGGAGATGCTACACCTGTTAAGATGATGCTTGGTGGTTACATCCTCTGGGTGTTCCTTTGGTAGGTCTGTGAGGGTATTTCAGTACATTGACCAAGGTCCCTCAGCTTTTGGAACTGGAAATGGCTTTGAAGGGCCTTTTATCCTTCATTAAAATACTAATTTTTCCCCTGCAAGCAGCCACTGAACTATTCGTGGTCGTCTGTTAATGGTTCTTGTCTTTATAACTCATTTCCTATTTTCCCCACAGCTGAGTGGTCAAATAACTTAACTTGAAGGATTATTGTTATTCTGAAAATGCTACTTGATTCTTGAGTTAAATCCAAATAAATCGTTCCCAGCGCTCCATTACAGCTGATAAGCTCAGTATTGATTGTAACAGGGACAGAATCCTGGAATCACTTGGATTGGAAAAGACCTCCAAGATCGTAGAGTCCAGTGAATGCTGCTGAAGGGAAACAGGATTGTGACCATTGTAGAGGGTGTTTCTCAGCCTTCAGCCTTGTCCCACTTGGGTCTCATGTCAGGTACTGTTGGAATTTGCAGCTGCACGAGCAGGCCCTGAATTTCAGGCTGAAATGAAAAGAAAAAATTCCAGGTTCCAGGGGATTATCTTAGCAACATGCCCAGCAATGGAAGAGAATAAATTCTTATTTAGTTTGTGGTGTTTGGAGTTGTTGAACAGGGAAAATGTGTTTAAAAAAAGAAGATAAGTGCCAATAAGATCCATTTTTCTTCAGACTTCCTAATTAAGAATTAGTGATTTTATTTATTCTTTCCCCCTGCTTATCAGAACAGATTTTATCAATGACGTTGGAAATGATTATTTTAATATTTCTTGTCAGCACAGTATTGTAATGACTGTGTACTGCCCCAGGATGCCTTTTTAATGATTTTAGCCTTCTTGAATTAGCTTGATGTACCATTAATGCATGAGAATTGCTTTTATTTCTGTTCATCATGTATCCATAATTACTCATCCCTCCCTGCTTTACGTTCAGATTTTCTCTGACCCATTTAACTGTGTGCTCTGTGGTTCTCTGACGTCACAGAGAAGCAGACCTTCAAATATTTAGAGGATAAAATTTTTACCATCAGCATGGCTTGGCACTGTGGTGGGTGAAACAAAAGGGTTTGGGTCTTAACTTTGATCCAGAGCTGAGTCCTCCAACCAAGGGGGTTTTACTTTGTATGGCTGGGTGTAACACACAGATTTAGAAATAAAACTGCCCAAAACAGCAATAAAATAGTGACTATTGAGGCAGGAGTTGCAGGTGTGTGATGGCAGCTGTCTCACAATGCTGTGCTACTCTCACTATTTTTGGATGCTTTACTTGCAAATTAATTTTTTTAAGGAGTGTGTCTGCTCTGTGTGAAGACTTAACCAGCAATGTTCTATTTCCAAATCCAAATAACATTTCTGATGTGGTGTTGAACAAAAGGTGTCTAAAAGGGGAACCTTGAGGTTCTCCGTTAGGGGATGGGAGATGACAAACAAATCCCGGTACAGCCGGAGCTCAGGCAAGGGCTGTCACCTGCCATCAGCCTTACCAAGGCGGCTTTTATAGATGTGTTTTCATTAGGAAACGCTAATCAGCCTAATGGGAAGTAAATAAACTCTCAGTCCCATCCTTGACAGCTGTTTTGGGGAGAGGTGACATCCACTGGGGTGCTGGATGTGGCCTCGAGGGATCCTCCACTTGGCTGTGGTGGGGGGACCCCAGCGAGGGGCAGAGCTGGGGAGAAGCTCCTTTGGCTCTGGGAATTCCTTGGATATTTTGTTTCTGGAGCTCCTGGGGTGCTGCAGCATCTGGAGGGATGTGCTGGAGCAGCCTGATGACACTCTGGCAACCTGCGTGCCACGAAACCACCGGGAAAACGATAGTGGGGATGCTGGTGGGCTCCAAGCAGTTGTGTTTTCCCGTTCTGTGTTTGTTTCTTGTTTGGTTTGGTTTTGGTTTGGTTTTTTTTTAATAAGAGGGAGACAGGAGGGATGTAATTTTCCCCCTGGTGCCACGTCTGGTGTTTTAAGCCTCGGTTTTCAGCCCCCCCCCGCCCCGTTCGATTCGAGGCCCCGTCGGCGCCTAAAAGGGAGCGTCAAAAATTAACTTTGGAATTAATTCACTTCGGAATTCCCGATCCTTGCCGCGTTTTTCCCGGGAGAGGCCGCCAGGGAGCGCCGGAGCCCCTGCGTAACCAAACCCCAGAGCATTCCAGCACTTCCCCCGTGGAATAGAATACATCCTGGGAAAATCCACGGCAGGAATGTAGGAACACACCCACCTGACACGCCTTGATTCGTGCAGTCTGCTCCCGGGAGAGGGGCTTTGTCCTGAGCTCACTCACCTCAGCGTGGAACTTTGCCCTTTTACACTTTTTGCTGCTTTTTGTGCCATTAATAAAGGAGGTGGTTTAGTTTGGAAACAGGGGTTTCCCTCCAGAGGGTTTTTCAGCAAATCTCTTGTTTGCACAGACTCATCTCCCCACACGCACTGGTTTCCAGCTCACCTCTCCATGCCCCTAAATGACACGTTCACCAGCTCTGGTGCCATCCATCGTCGCAGGAAGGTTTTGTGTTTAGTTAGTAGGCGAAATTATTCAATATCTGAAATTTTATGTAATGCCAGAAAGGCGTGAAATGGGCTCTACAAATTGAGCACTGCCTGGAGAAGCAGGAGCGTGAGGAAGCCTTCATTCAAAATGAGTCCAAATCCTTGGGTTTATGTTTTCTGATTGACTAGCTGAATTTCACACTGCATACATTTAGTGCTTAAGATGTTTTTCTG